CTCATTATCCAAACAGAGCTGAGGCCAACTGGATCAATGATCTCTACGATGACACCTTTGTCCGTCATTTCCGACAGGTGTTAAAGAAGAAAGAGAAACAGACCACCTTGGTCATGTTTTTCAAGAAGCCAGCGGGCAAAAAACAAAGGATGAACAAGAGAAGTTGACCCTGCAAGTTCTGGTAACCTCTCCTGAATCTGACTCCGATTAAAAAACAATAAAAAAAGACCCGCTGCAATGTGTAAAAAGTCTGTATCTGTATGAATGTGTAAAGAAAGTGTTCCTCCACCTCCTTCTCACAACATCTGACTACCCGACATAATTGGTATCTGCTCCATTTTCATTTTTTATGGTACAGTATGGTTATTTTATGCTGCGGAACGAATTATATGTTTTAACATGCATTTCTATGGGAAAATGCGTTTCGTATAACGAACGTTTCACTTAACGGACGTGCACCTGGAACGGATTAAGTACGTTGTACGAGGCACCACTGTATTTACATATATTGCAGCAAGATGTTGGTTTATCCATTTGGTTAGTAGGTAGTTTTGCCATTTTCAAGCATTTTTATATTTTATTCTATAAGAAAAAGAAACAACAGCATGCTGAATAAGTGTTTTGAGACTGGATGTAAGTCTGGCTACTGCAAATCTGGTGAGAACTGGCTTTTTTTTACGTCACTTCTGAGCCAGTTTGATAAGTGGAAACATAATTCCTTGAAAAGATTTACAACTCACAAGAAAATTGTAAATATGTGACTTGCAATTTGCTGAAATATTTCTGATTAAGAATTATGTGCATATAATTGAGGGTAAGAGTTAAGGTCCTTGTGGAAAATGGCAATTAACACACAATGTTTATCCTTTGAATTTTTCCAATTGCCCTTTATATTTGTCAGTTAAACTTCTGGAACATTTAAAATTGTTTGCAGAATACTAGCATATCAGCTATCATCATCAACCACTTTTCAAATTGGATAAATTACATTTAAAATAAAAGTTTTTAATATATCTCAATTTTTATTTACAGTTTTAAATGACTCAATTTAAACCTGTTATGTTGCTATGTATTATTTATGCAAGTTTTGTACATAATTTTTTCTTTCTGTATACAGTGTGTGTTTAATAAATAGGTGCATTTGCATTTGGACTTTTCTATATTTTGAATAAATGAGACCCTTAGAAAAATGCAGTAATTTATTTCATTCTTACCCATAATGAAAAATCCCAAAAATATTTAAAAATGAATCCAATCTTATCAGAAAAAACAAATCACCTAATCAATTTAAAGTCTAAAATCATGAAAGTGACAGTTAATAGAATTGTAAATATTAGCAACATTTATGAATAAATAATGTTCAAAACTAAATTAAAATAGAATTTACAAACAGTCACCTAAAAAGACGAAAGCAATATCTGTTAAAAACAAGAAAAATTTCATCTGTAAAAAGAATTTCAAATGTTTACAGCTGACTCTGGCTGTGCTCAAACCAAAACTTACGCACAAAGCGATTACAGCACTCATTGAGGCAGAAATATTTATTATTCAATTTTCATAGCATTACAGCTATTGGTAGCTATGAGACCAGTATATCTCTGCTAAAATTAGTCATAATAAAATTGCAAGAGTCTAGATTACACTTAAATCCAATCTCCCATAGCAATAGTTACATTATCTAGTTGTCTAGCTGAGATCATTAGATAAAAGATTTGTGAATATTGCAATATACACAATTTAATTCAAACTAGATTAATATTAAAAAAATAACTTAAATGTCTTTATAATTCCATCAGATATTTAATTAGGAAATAAAATATTTTCAACATGAATATGACTTATTTAATTAAGAAACAAACAAGTTTATTTTATATCTGCTGAAATCAAACATATTTGGTTAATTTTTGATATTAATACATTTTTCCACATATACTGATATAGTGTCAATACTGATATTTATTCATTTACAATAATTCCTATTAATATAACTATCAATATAAAGATTCTCAGACTAGGGACAAGTTCAAAAAATTATATTTGCTTGATTTAAAGAAAAATAGTAAAATGTTTAAATTTTAAAAGTTTTGTCTGACTTGAATGCAGCAAGCCTGTAAACTCTAAAAAAGGGAATTGTACATACATTATATAAAATATACAGGTATCCCTTGATTAATGCAGTTAATTAATTCCCCAATGCTACTACACATATCAAAATCACATCAATCAAATACAGTGGTACCTCAGTACTTGACTGAACAATCACCACCCACAAGAACAAAATTTTCAGTTAATAACAAATATTTTTATTTTAAATTTGCTATCAGTGTAAAGTATTGACCTTTTAGCAGAGAGAGAACAAAAGAAGCATGACCTTGTCAATTGGACCAACGTGCGGTTGGGTAATATACCACTTGTAAGGTGTTGACTTGTAAACAGAGGAAAAACAAAGGAAGAGCTGACTTTGTCAATTGGACCCACCTGTGGTCAGATGATAGACCATTTGCCATATGGTAAACAACTGAATGTAAACAAGTGTCAGACGTTACTGTAAGCTTGACTCTCATTGGATAACAGTGGACCTAGGTTAAAGCTGTTCGGGTAAGAAAGGTTTGTGATTGGTTGGAAGTTTCCGTCCAAAAAACCCTTAAATTGCGGAATGAATAGGAGGGGAAAGAGACTGGTACACAATAGTCTCAGGCACTTGGGAAGCCCACTGAGCATAGAGAGAGTGTTCTCTTCTGGTAAACATTTCAGGGACGGGTTAGTGAGGAGACTGGCCTGACCATGCAGTTGAGCCAACTCCACAAGCTGACTGAGGCCTCTCCAAAGTTTAATAGTTCCCTGAAACCAATTTAGTACGTGAGTCACCACGCTTTGTTATCCTGTATATATATATTATGTTTTCGAACTTGTACTTTCTGCATGTTTTCGAACTTGTACTAGAATCTGTAAATAAACTGTAAATATTATCAATTTGAGTGTGGAGGTGTGTGTTCCATCAAACCTGGATCACTATATCGAATCATGATACACACGGAAACCAACTCAACGAGACAGAGTTTGGGAAAGAACTTCACTAAGATCTTCACTATCTGTAAAAAGTTTTCTGTGATAAAAATGAGTAACTAATTTAAAAATAAAATGAAACTTTAGAGCAGCCTTGGTGATTAAGAAAAGGGAAACACGATGGCAAAGGGGACACTTGGTTGAATAAATAAAATTTTATATTATTTGTTTTATACGCTTACATACTTAAATAGATATTAAACTAATAATAATTTTATAGGTATTTTCAACAATTCATTAAGTAATAAATAGTTCAAAATAAAAATTCACAAAGTTTTTTAAAGTACTGATTAAAAAATAATTTTTTTCTTCAATTCTTGGAAAATTTGCCAGTTCTAGGAATTATAATAATATATACCTTCCCACTTCTTATGTAATACAATTAAAAAAATCTGTTTTCTATCTTATCAGTCTGATTGTATGCATAACAATTGCCCAGAGCTAAAAAAATTATGAAACAATGTCATTTTTATATGAATTCATAAAATTTATCAAATTTCAAAATTGCTTATCACATGAATATCATAACTTTTGTTAATATCTTTTTATCATAAAATTTTTTGAATAAAAATGATAGCAAAATAAAAAAAATCTGAATAAGTCACACTTAGAGGAATGAGTATTGCTAATAATTGAAAAATTTAATGAATTGTTGTTCCTAAAAATTTTCTTTGAAATTTTGTGTTACTTTTTTATTAACTATGAATTTAATAAAATATCTCAATATGTTTGACATATCTTTTCATATATCCCCAGAAGTATTCATTTCACCATAACATCATCAATCCCAGTTTAGAAGAAATTGATATCAAATTCTGAAAGATATCATATCTTGCTACACTTCAATGATTACAAAATCAAATAATTCTACATGAATCAAAAAGTGTGTGGCACTAGTAGTATCAAATGACTTTCACATCTTTAAATCTTTGAGGTATAATAACCTATCTAGTAAGCAGTTTGCAAGTGATAACAAAGTGCAATAAGCCAGAACACTCTGGTACTAGGAAATTGACACTGGTTTCTTTTGTGCTAGAATATCCTAGTACAGGTAGCCCTTGGGTTACACCAGCTCAATTTATGCAGATTCACAATAATGCTGGTGTGCAATTCACTGTGTAACTCCCCGATTTTCCCTATGCTAAACTGATTTTCAATTTAGTCTATTTATAAAATTTATATGTAATAAAATACAATAACCAAAGTTGATGATAATTACTCACTAAATTGCTGTTTTGCAGAGAAGCCATTAATACAAGGATTTATTTTAACAAGAAACTAACTTGTAAGTCAATATAGAATATCTGTATTTTAAGTTCAGAATAATTTAAATATAGTCTGATCCAAAGCAATTTTGAATCCAAATTGAACATGTTCTGTTTATGTTTAATTATTTTACTGCTATAAGGCAAAAAAAAAAAAAAATTATAATTGATCAAAATTCAAAAAGCTGGATTGAGATTTTTATTTCCCATCTTAAGCTGTAAATATGTACTAGTAATAACAATAAGGTAAAGTTCACAATAAACATATTACATGTTTTTCTTAATTTTGCTTTCTTATGAGACCTCATTAATAAGCATGTCCTAAACAGATAGAAATTTTTGGAGGAAACGCATATAAAAAAAAGCTAATTGTGAACTTTTACCAACTTTTTCAAATAATTAGCAAAAATGTCACTTATGTAATTAATACAGAGAATCTTTAAATCTTATCTTTCTAAATGTCAATGTCAGACATTACTAACACAATAAGTATCATTTTATTATTTGAAAAAATAATTTTTTAAACATATTCTAAAAAATCCAGCAAGGAGTTGCTTAACTTTTCGGCAACATTCAGTGGCACTCTCTGTTATCATAATTTATTAACAAACGTTTTATACAGTAATTTTAACTATTATAAAATGGTAAAAAGGTTAATTTTGAGGGTAGGGATGGAATTTACAATTTATTATAAAACCCATGTTTTATAATAAATTGTAAATGCTAATAACAAGTAAAGTCATCATTAAGTCTGACCCTACTAGAGATACACATGACCCCCTTTATCTCCCCATCCTCTCAACCTTCAATCACCGAAATTTAATAGCACCAATCCCCCCTAATAAACAAACCTCCCTGCAAAATTTCAGTCATTTTCGACAAAAAGCACAGGAGTTATTAAGCTTCAAAGAGGGTGAACAAAATCGTGCTCCTCCCACACTAACATCCATAAGCTTTTAAATATTTAAACGAAGCTAAATTATTACATTATTACTATAATCACAAATCCATAATTACCATAACATAAGGATACGATACAACAACTCGAAGATCAAAATATATAGGTGTTTCGATACCACTTTTCATCATAAATTTGCCAAACTTGATAGCTTTAACATCAAATAAATCGCATATTATTTTTGATAAAACACTTTCTTCCATTCCGAATGAGAGAATGTATTTTGCTGATAAAGTAATTGTCACTTATTATATCACAAATTTACAATGATTGTAGATAAAAGAGCACGTGGTTAACAGCTTGTAACAACTTTATATCATGAAGCGCCCTCTAGTGCACAGAATATATATATATTTTTTTATAGAAATAATGGTCTAAACCAGCGTTTCTCAAAGTGGGCGATAACGCCCCCTTGTGGGCGCTGGAGGCTTTCAGGGGGCGGTAGAAGGCTCAAAGAGAATTGGGGGGCGTTAAGGAAATATAGAGGGGCGACGGCAGACAAATTCTATATATAAAAATTCGACGGAATATATATAAAATGTTGACATTTTATATATTTTTTATTTTTTATTGAAGGTCACAACTTGAATATTTCTAACACATTGACTTTTATTTTAGCTCAGCGTTTCTCAAAGTAAGCAATAACGCCCCCTTCTGGCGCGATGAATAGATCTATGATAGAGGCAGGGTATTGAACGGTGACCAAAGGCAAAATTGGGGCTGATAAGAGGAAACATTGCGTTTAATGGTTTCCAGATGATGAGAACAATGTACAGTAAGGGC